ATAAAAATTTGGTGTTAGATTACATATTCATTTTAGTGCTAATTCAAATTCATATTATAACTTTGTTTTAATATTTTATGGTTATCTTATTAATCTCCACATTAAATTTTAAATTTATTATTGTACACATTTTAATTCTTTAATTTCGTTTAACTTCCTCTAATTAGTGCACCTAAACGTCCGTATCATAATTTATTTTACTGAACTAGTGTATTGAAATGTCTATGCCTGAATATATGATAATGAATTGGTGGCACATAAGAAAATATGCAAAAACATAAGTGTACCAAAAAAATCCATATCTAAACATATTATACTAGCATACCAAAATGTCCGTACCTATATATTATACCAAACTAATGTATCGAAATGTCCATACCTAAACTAGTTTACCGAAATGTCTATACCTAAATATTTTGTAATGAATTAGTGACACATAAGAAAATATGCAAAAATATTAGTGTACCGAAAAGTCTACTAAAATATTTTCTTTATTATATAAGATACTTACCATAAATTGGTGATAAAAATGGCAACAAGTAAAGCTAATCGATTTGAATTTCAAATGATATTAAATTTTACAATATTTTATATAAAAAGTAATTCTGGACACCATAAAATTATTTTAAAAAAAGAAAAAAAAAGAAAGAAGAAGAAGACATTAAATGCATATGCTAGCATTAAATACAATTTAGGGATTAAAAACAATTTTTAATCTTGTATAAGACATTTTTTCTAAACTTCATCTTATTTAAGGATTAAAATCTAGTTCTCTAAACTTTAAAATTTGACAGGTCATGTCTTAAGATGTCGTTGTATTAATAGAATGGTCAAGATTCAATGAAATGCAGGTAAATGCGAGATATGTAAATTTAGAGACTCAAGATCCATGTATAACAAGAGTATGAAGAAAATATGAAGCCTCATTTAAAGTGACGTCCAAGGCGCATGCCTTGTTCGCCTTGCCTTTGGACCGCCTATGTGTGGCATAGATGAGATACTATGAGACTTTTCACTGTTAAATCTTGTTCCTTGTATACTTGACCAAGATCTAATGGTTCAAATTTCACCATGTGTTAACATTCGAACAAGAAAAAAAAAAAAATCATTCTGTGAGGAGAATTTGAAACTAATGAGACTATTTATGTATTGGATGAATTTTGAATTGCTAATTATTTTATCTAATTTGGTGAGAATTTGCTTATTTTGTTTAACATATAGGAAGGAGAGATTTGAGAGGATCAAGAAGGAGCTAAAGATGACAAGGGTGTTCTCTACGCTGGTAGATGAAATGAAAGCCATCGGAAGCACTTCAATAAAGGGAGAATCACAATGTACGGACGTGATGAAGCCGGTGGCCCATAATGAGAGGAGTCCCGTGCTTCTTCTTATGGGTGGTGGAATGGGGGGTGGCAAAAGCACTGTCCTCAAAGATATTCTCAAAGAGTAATTTTCTTAAAGCTTGCGCCTTGTTTCATGTCTAAGATTGGGCGGAACAAGTTTTCTTCACGACTAAATGCATCTAGTACCTTCGACTTGGACAAACTATGTAAATTGACATCTATTTCTTCATTCCACATTTGTTAAACCTAATAAGTTATCCAAGTCAAACCAATCTTAGAGACTAAACGTGGCAATGAGGATCATTTAGTGATTAATGGAGTGTGCTAAGTGTGCATGTCCATGTTTGGCAGGTCATTCTGGTCTGGAGCAGCAGCAGATGCTGTGGTAGTAGAGGCAGATGCTTTCAAAGAGACAGACGTCCTTTACAGAGCCCTTAGCTCTAGAGGTCACCACAGTGACATGCTCCAAACTGCTGAGCTAGTAAATCTCTCGCATTTAATTAATTTTGTTTATCACAACATAACCTGGGAGACAATGACTTTAGATTTCTAATCTCCGATTAATTGCATAGCTAGATCTTAGGTTGTAAGTGCTCGAAATTAATACTTAAAACCTTAAGATCGAAGCTCTGAAAGACCATTCTATACCCTAACAATCAACCACGTCATTCAAGGGGATAAAAATTGAAAATTTTGAGCAAACTGTAAAACTGAGGTTTCTTCAAGGCGTCACGTAGTCCCTACGCAAAGAATTTCTACATTGTGTTATATATATGCACACATTTTGCATTATACCCTTACATAGTTTCACAAACGTCGTAACTGATGTCATTACAGTTGATCATGATAATTGATGTATTATGTACATGTCTGCCACATTCTGTGATGAGCTAAACTGATCTAAGAACGTGTTTTTGTAGCATTTTCAAATGGGTTAATTCCATCATAGAAGTTATCTAGTTGAATCAACTGACTGATTGATCATTGCAGGTGCACCAATCATCTACTGATGCTGCATCATCGCTTCTAGTGACTGCACTTAATGAAGGAAGGGATGTGATCATGGACGGCACTCTATCATGGATGCCCTTTGTTGAGCAGACAATAACCATGGCCCGGGATGTCCACAAATGCCGCTACAGAATGGGGGTCGGTTACAAGGTGGAGGAAGACGGCACCATTACTGAAAACTATTGGGAACGAGTGGACGATGGAGAGGATCATCAGGATCAGCAGAAGATAGATAATGGCGAGGAACCCAGGAGAAAACCCTACAGAATAGAGTTGGTTGGAGTGGTTTGTGATGCTTATTTAGCTGTTGTTAGAGGCATCAGAAGGGCAATCATGGTTGGGAGGGCAGTGAGGGTGAATTCGCAGTTGAAATCCCACAAGAGATTTGCTAGGGCATTTTATAGATACTGCCAGCTTGTTGATAATGCCAGGCTCTACTGCACCAATGCTATGGCTGGCCCTCCAATGGTAATTTTGGACTCTCCAACTATACTAACTACTCCAATGTTACAAAGACCACAATTTTAGATCACATTTTACGATGATGCACATGCATGTGTCAATTAACTTTTGGTTATTATTGTTATCAATCACCACATCGACGAGTTCATTTGGGAGTACTTTTGTAGGAAGCATTTATGCTCACAAAAAATGCTTTTATCATAAGGATGTAGAAGTACTTTTAACTAAGAAATACTTTTAACCTTTTTTTTTCAAGCACTGTCAAAAACACTTTTAACCTTTCTAAAAGTATCGTCCAATCGGCCATTTTTAGCTGATGTGATCTACTACTTGAATGATAAACACAAAAGTTCATATAATAGTTGATAAATTTTTGCTCAGACATATGCATAGCATGAAATTTATATACTTGGATTTGTGTGTAAAAATGCAGCTGATAGGATGGAAGGATGGAGACAACAATTTGCTAGTCGATCCGGAAGAGATAAAGTGCTTGACAAACTTAAGCAGTTTAAACTCTGAGGCAGAATCCATATACGAGCTTTATATGCAGAACCCAAGCCTTATCCTTGAGCCTGGTTCCTTCTGGAGAGACATTGTCTTGTGCCCTTCAAGGCCAAGCCTTCAGCTGAAGCTGAAGGGTACCATTCAAAAAATTGAAATTTCATACACTGCTACCAATTAGGTTAACAGTGTTGAATCATCAACTTAATTCTTGTGTTAATTTCGTGTTTATTGAAAATTCTGTACATGCAAAAATGAATATATAATTCATTAATTGCCATCAAATATCATGATAATTCTCTCGTCCAATATTAATTGCTTCTAATTAATAGCACCAAAAAAAATCAGAAATTACCAACCGAAGTTATAAACACAGACATCATGAATGTACAGAAGAAACTTCTTTCATTTATTTAATTGCCAAATCGGATTAATGGCCCGTGGTGATATGATATTCGAAAGATAGTCTATGTAGTAAAAAAAAAAAAAAAGGATTTAAACCCTTTTGGTGAAGATTATTAGCAATTTTAACACAAAAACAAAATTTCTGTTAAATCTCAATTAAATGTAGGGATAAAAATGTTCAACCACACTTTTCTATCTGTTAGCCTTCTCTCTTCCTCTCTCTAATTGTACCTCCTCTCTCAGCTCTCTCTCCAAGCTTTCACACAAAACAAAAAAAGGAGTTCAACTGTATCTCCGATTAACATTTGATCAAGGAAAATTAACAAAGTGCAATGAGTGTGTTTGGAAATTGTACTCACTCTAAGGCTCCTGCAGCTCCAAGTGCCATTCGAATTTCCAAACGAGGATTCCACGGGAGTTTCTTCTTGAGTTCATCATCTATGTGCAGAGCATCATGCAGTGAACCATTACTGCAATACTCGTAGATCAGAAGCCTTTGACCATGCTCTGCACAGTAACCCATAAGCTCGACAACATTAGCATACCAGGTCAAGAAACTCGTCATCTTTCTGCTGACTAGAAGCCCTCGTCCAATTTCTCTTGACTTCAAGTAGCTGCATAAGTATCCCAAAAGATTAGTGTCAGTTTCTAAACTATTCTATGCATATAACAGAAACTGCTTGATCACATGAGATATAAGCACACAGGAGGAGAGAAGATTTTCATCTTGCATACAAAAGTACCCGAAAAAATATATTACATGATACATATCATATCATACCATATATTACATGTTACAAATGGAGTGCAAAATTAACTACAAGCCATAATATTAATGCAAAATAAATAGGAAATTGTTGTTGGCACTTCAAAAACTTAATTGTGCACTCCAAACTTTTTAAATTTAGAAAGAAAAAAAAAAACCCTTATAAGGAGTGCACAATCAAATTTTATTTATTTTTGAAGTACCAATAGTTCCTATAAATACACATATTAAATTCGAGACTACTTAAACAAACACACAAAGAAGAAATAAGAGAGCTGGCTTAAACTTGGAGGGTTGCTTGGATATGAACACTTGAGTTTCATTAATTTTCCTTAACTAAAACCGATTAATTCTATTTTAGTTGATTTGTGCACCATGAGCACAAAAACAAAAACAAATACAAAAAACCCTAGTAAAATCATAGTAAAGTCCAAGTGCAACAGTTGCTAACGTTTTAATTCGAAGCCCAATCATTAGGCCCAATTCTAACCTCAGTCTAGGGCTAAACACAAAACCAGAGCCTCCACCCCCAAATCGCTATTTATATAAATTCAGCTTGAAAGAAAAACCTCCTGCTTCCCGAAAACCCTAGCGGCAAGCACAGATCCGAAGTCCTCCAAGCTTCCCTCCCACCTCGCGTTTCCGATTCCGAAAGCTCCACCACCATGGTAGATCTCCGAATCCCCACTCTCTCTCTCTCTCTGAATCGCATCATTTCGCTGTTAATTTTTCTCCCCTAACTCTCTCTCTCTCTCTCTCTCTCTCTCTACCTTCTCTGGTATTTTTTTTCAGGCTGACGTTGAGACCGATGTTGCGGCAGCTGGAGTTCCGAAGAAGAGAACATTCAAGAAGTTCAGCTTCAGGGGCGTCGATTTGGATGCCCTTCTCGACATGTCCACTGATGAGCTCGTCAAGCTCTTCCCTGCCAGAGCTCGCAGAAGGTAATACACAAATGGATCGATACGATTTCTTGGTTTGGTTTTTTGGTGGATTTGTCAAATTGGGTTTGAATTGGATTTTATGGATTTGTTGTGGTTGGTAGGTTTCAGAGAGGTCTGAAGCGCAAGCCTATGGCTTTGATCAAGAAGCTCCGCAAAGCGGTAATCTTTCGGAACCCATCGGCTGAAATTGTTACAGATTTTCTGTTTAGATTTGGATTTTGTTTAGATGTGGTTGGCGATGCTTTGCAGATCGAGTTGTGTTTTTTTATTATTGGATTTCAGAGCGTTGTGATTTGAGTTGTCAAATTATCGCTTACACTTTTCGATGCATAGTAGATGATGCCAATGTTGATCTTGTGCTTGTTCTCCCTTGGTCAAGCTTGTGTTCTATGGACAGTATGAATCTAGTTTATGTCGGAATTTGATTAACCTCGAGTATGTGATTTGTGTTCTGGAAAATGGGGTTTTGTTTATTTATTTTTAAAGTGCATACTTTGTTTTGTTGTATAATAACACATGGGAATTTTGTGGATTGTCTCCCCTGTTCTGTTTTATTTCACTCACAGAAATAAGTTGGGTTATCAAAATAATGTTGGAATGTAGAAGTCTCTACGTGCCTTAGAAGGCATAATAGATAAGGGAAAGAGACCGCGGCAGGCCCCAACATAAGTTGTGATTCCTGAGTCCCTGCTGTTTAAAAACCCATTGTTGTCCTGTTGCTGGGTTTAGTTTGAGCTGTATTTTTATGGAGTCGAACTTTATAATTTTTTGTGAACTTGTTTGAATGTTGCAACATATTGTTTTAGTGTCAGGATCAAGCATGTATCTCTTTCCGTCTTTGAGTTCTGTTGTCGATTGTCAAATGCTATCATGGATGGGGAAAATTTGGACCTAATGATTTTTTCTCTGTGCTTGCAACAGAAAAGGGAGGCACCACCTGGTGAGAAGCCAGAGCCAGTCCGTACTCACCTGCGTAACATGATTATAGTTCCAGAAATGATTGGAAGCATTATTGGAGTGTACAATGGAAAGACCTTCAATCAGGTTGAAATCAAGCCTGAGATGATCAGCCACTACCTTGCTGAGTTCTCAATCTCATACAAGCCTGTGAAGCACGGTAGACCTGGTATTGGTGCCACCCACTCTTCGAGGTTCATTCCTCTTAAGTGAGATAGTTTCCAGCAGTCTGGATGCCTGATCGTGTTATTTCTGTAAGACTCTGATAACGATCACATTTTTGCTCATTGCTGCTATTTGGTTTTGTTATATTTTGACCCTACCTTGATTACTCTTTAGATGGAATTTATATTTACAGTTGTGGTGCTTTGGATGCTCAGACTGAGATTAATAGATTTAAGTGTAGTTGAATTAATGCTTGTTCTCTTGAGTTGCAACCATGTCATTTTTCTATGCTTTCTCTTCCCGAAAGAATTTGTTTAGGCGGTCCACTTTCAATATTCCTGTGTCCCCAAGAAAGTCTACCCTTTGCGGGGTTTGGGTACGTTTTTCTCTTCCTGAAAGAGTTTGTTTTGACTGACGATTGACCGTATCTTTACCCAAAACCCCTAAAGGGTAGACTCTTACATTATTATTTTAAAGGCTAAGGAAAAGAATTATATGAAGGATCCGTTTAGATGCTGGAGAGTAAGAACATGAGGTGAAACCTGCTTGTAACTCGGTTAGAAAATGAGTACCATGCATTGGGTTTGTGACAATATGAAGCTGGTCATCCCTTGGTATACTTAGCTTTTGTCACCAGGCAACCAATTTTGAGAAACATCACGTTCTACAGTTTGCACTTTCCCTAATTCAAGGTCTTGTCGTACATCGGAAGACCAGCCGAAATAGGATTTCTAGCCCATCCGAAATAGTGTCTTTGTTTTGCTTTCTAGCATATAATTTAGTTTGAATAACTATCTTTACGGTTCATGTAGCCGTCTTGGTGATTCGGTATTTCTTTGTTTAATGAAGTTTTATATTCAGTTAGTTCGTCGTCTACTCTAGGAGGTAGACGGACAAGGATTCAAACAGTATCTCTGGTGGAAATCTTGACATGCTTGGCTGAAACTCGCAAGCTTCTGGGTTTTAGGAATTGTAGGGTTTTAGTGGTGACTAAAATGGTGCTTTTTAGGCATTTGGTATTTAGGGTTGGCTCGTTCTAGACGCCTAATAGTAAAGGGATGCCAATTACTGTAGTCTGTTTTTTACTGTTCTTTCCATACGTCGCAATTTTTATTTGCTGGATGCTTTTTTTCAAGAATACTAGGGTTTTTACGACCCAGGGTCTTTATGTTTTCTCAACCCATCCGTTTGGTTTTTATGGTTTAAACTCATCAGTAGTCTTTTATTTATTTATTTTTGGGTGAGCCACTCATCAATATGGTCGGCAAGTCAAATTTAATAAAATTCAAGGTTTTATTATGGCTGACATGACATTTATGTGCAATTCATAAAATCAATTATATAGTGACAAGTGGATCAATAAAATTCAAGGTTTTAAAATTATTTTCATTAGTTTTCTCATGCTTGAATAGAATCTAGACAAATTTAAAAGGAGTGGCAATGGAGGCACAGTATTCCTCTATCCCTTCACCTTCCTGGAAATGGAAAATGCAATTTCCTCTCGGCTTCATAGAGTGTTTCTTGCACAAACTCTTCTATCACTGCGGCTCCAATCTTTCCAACAATACAATTAAAAACAAAGTATTAGAATATAATGAAGGAATGGGGAACAAACATATACTGTGTATTCATCTAAGTATTCAACAGGATTCTTACAATTTATTAAATAAATAAAATGCAAATGAAAGTCATCTATTTTGTAAGTGAGAGTCATGATCTAGGTGGGTCTAGACTGTCTAGGCACCCTTAATTTTCAAACGACTAGGGATTAATCGGAGTGGTGGCCAGCCCATTTAGCATCTAGTTAGGAATTTTTAGAACAGTGGTTCTATCATAATATGTATTTCCATGCAAGCTTCCACACATAGTTGCTGTTCTTGCCAAAGAAAGAACCATCATGATCGTTTCAAATAAAATAAATTAGTCGGTTAGGACAATGGGATGCTGTTTTATACTCGAGTTCAATTCAGTTTCTTTGTAAATTATAGTTGTTAAGGGAAGAAAAAAATGTAGGCAGTAGGTTTGTACTTGATTTTTTTTTCTTTTTTTTTAAAAGGAGACAGTTGGTGACAAATCACGGTTATTCACCTCTTTTGGGGGTCGGGAAGACTTACAAAGGTATTTCAGCCTTCGCCTGGCCACAAGTTTGGCTTCCACACCAGTAGTGGGTTTCGAACCTAAGACCTCCATTTTTTAGTTTGAATGAAGCCTCGCAATGCAATTCGCCATTTACTACTGGACCACCAGCTCGTAGTTTGTTTGTATTTGATATTTGGGATTATAATTTGGGTTTACTGCACAATTTGAGGTTTACCCCTCAACCTTAATTTAGGTAGAAATGGCACTGGGGCAGGTCGTGGGGATGCCAATACTATAACCTACCCAATGGTTATTATTGACCATTAATTTTATTGAAATCGACTTTTAAATTCTTTACCTTATGCACTTTAACTCTTGCAATCACATTTTCAATTCATTTATGTTCAAGTAACTATATTCTTACGTACACGTCTTTAATTTAATCTATTTTCTCCCAATTATATTAGTTTTAATCTTGTTTATTTTCAATTTATTTTACTTTTTCACTCGATCTTCGCATTCACCGATTCACAGTAATTTGGTTGTTTATCTTCAAGGTAGAAAAAAATAACCTTAGGCCAAGAAAATGTTACTTGCTCTGCCGCACATTGTTTGATTAAAAGTTAAATTTAAAGTGCAAATACAAATTACATAATATATTTTTCATGTTGGCCAATCTAAACCACGTGGTGGCATGCTCGTGCATATAAATCAAAGAAGAACCAAAAGTCCTTCTAGGCCGCTCGTTCCGGCAGAAACGAGAGAAAACAAATCAGATAGTGTAAGTGAAAAGTAAAAAGAAACATTTATCGTATTTTACCTCTCCTATTTATTTAATTTTGATAACAGGTGCCTAATTTATGGTATGAAAAATAGCAAGAATTTATGAACATCAAAACTATATGCATGTACGTACCTTGGACTCAATTTCCAGCTCTGCTGAAAACTCCTCGAGTGACAAATTAGAGCTAATATTTCTGGCTTTCAAACCCAAATGTCGCAAGCACTTAAGAACCACCAACATACAATCAATTCCCGATGTAGGATTAGCCACCTTTAATTTAATCTTTGTCCATTTCACTCCCTCCTTTTCATTTTCTACCAGAAGTGTTTCAAGCTCCATGTTCTTCTTTCTCAGCTCCTCCTCATACCTCTTCAGCTGCTGAATATTCGTTGTTGCCATTTGCACAATCCAATTCTTATCATTCTGCACCACGTAAATTGTAACACCAAAAAATTATTTAACAAAATTAGTCCTCGGTCATTATCAATCGTGCAAAAAAAGAGAAGGGAATTTAACGACAAGGTGCGTGATAATAACACGTTCATGAAACTCATACTAAGAAAATTAAAAACTAGAAATAAGCGTCGTAAAATGACTGTTTTGAATTGCTGATCACGGATATTAAATTTAGTTTAATTTGGTTAATTGAATATACCCACCCTGGTTCCAGTGGGCAGCATAGAATGCAAGGCTAAGTAGCAGTGCTTCTGCTTCTCCCTCCTCATGCGCTCGTTGATCATGTGGCGAAAACCCCGTTCTTTGCCGTCATCTCCAGCTTCATTTCTTGCAGTTGCAGGTTGCCAGCTTTTCCTCAAGAATTGCAGCATCCTCATGTTCATGTTCATGGATTTGGTCACACCATTAGGGGGCTGATTACTAATGTGTCTGTTTGTGTACGGCACAAAAGCACTTTGATTCTGTACTACCGGAGGACTCTCATCATACCATAAAAATTCACCTTCCAATGCTTTGAGGATGTATCGGTCCATTTCCTTCCTCTTCTTCCTCTCTCTCTCTCTCTCTCTCTCTCTCTCTCTCTCTCTCTCTGTGAACTGTGTTTGTTGTGCCGGGAATCTCAAATTTCAGTTTTGGCAGTTGGTATATAGGGCTCTTGTCGAACTGGGTTTGCTGTAATTAAAAAGCATTTAAAACGTGGTCAAATATCTCGTTTTGGTCATGGAGACTTGTCAGTCAACTATCCGCATGTATAATTGGGGTGTCAAAGTTATCGACTTCGGAGTCGTTTTGATGGGCTGAATATAAATAATTGTCTCCAAGCCCACGGCTTGTTTTCTTGAAAGAGACTCGACAAACATATACATATATCTTGAGATATCTTCACATATTTAAAAATTGCTTTAACCTTAGCACTAATCCTTATATTATTATGTTTTTTTATTTTTTATTTTTTTATCAAATGTCGTTTTATTTTTTTAAACAAAAGAAAACATGGTATTTGATGTCTTGAAATTATAATGTTTGTTTTCATCTTTGATCCATAGCCAAAGGCCCAAAAGCATTAAAATGTCAATTTTTATTTATTTTTATTTATTTTTTACAAAATGACACATGACATTTGATAAAGTGAAAATGCTTAAATGCAAAGGCTGCTAGCACTAAAAAAATAAAAAAATAAATAAAATTAAATGTTAGTTAATCGGCTACATATAAAAAGAAAGAAAGGTCATGTTTGATATTAAAATTGCAAGATTTAGTTGAAATTAGGTAATCTCGTATCGCTAGCAGCCACTCAGAGGGACATGTCAATAAAAGGAATACTCATGTTTTGCAAGAAATGAGGACTACTTGTCAGGCACTCTACTTTCTATTTTAATAATTTAAACTGCCTATTTTTTTAGTTTAATCGAATAGATCATCGTTGCAATATGATAGCTAATTTGAAATGGTTAAGGTACCTAATTGTGCTCAAGAAAATTGACGAACATGGTACTCTAAGAAACATTAAATGCCATCACGAAAATCAAATAAGAAAATAATTTCGAATCTAATTGGTATTTGCAAGAATAATCTATTAGATGAAACTTGAAAACCAGACTGCGGCCTCCTTGGGTAGTCTCATTTTCTTGTAAAATATGAGACCATTTTCCTACCTGCTCGTATGGAATTCATCCATGCAAGTAGTTTGGTTAAGGGATTGAAATTTGAAAGTAACCTCTGAACAAAATTGGCTTGATAATTTGTTGATACAGATTCAATATCGGGGTAGACATCTACAATATCTTATTTATTCATATTTTTAAAAACTTAGGCCCCAATTCCTATTTTCTGGGCAGCTTTGGCCAATGCAACTCCATTAACAAATGCAGCCACCTTCACCAATTGAACCACCACTCCAATTCCATCTTCTGCAACCCTAGGTGTGGTGAAGTTCAATGACAATTCTGCTCCAGAAGTACTCTTCATCTTCTTCTTCACACGCTTGTACTCGCTACAGTTCAGAACCTTGAAAAACTCATCCACAACACTCACCCACCAGATCCCAGAAGCATTGAAGCCTTCGAAAAACGCCAAGTGACCGCTGTGCTTTGTGGTGGCCAAAACAACACTCACACACCTAGATGGCTGACGCTGCTAGTGCGCCGATAAAATGTGTCAACGGTCTCAAACTTCCCCACGTCGCAGGTAGCATGGTAGTGTTGGATGCAATGCATCTTGTCGTCCCAATCTGCAAGCCGTGAGTAGGTATGCTGGTGAAACTCTGCGTACCATTGAAGGCCTACTGTTAGAGCTTTGTCATATAACTTCTGCAGCAAGGTACGTCGAATGAATCTGTCACCAAGGGGAAAATCCCAGGGATTGCAAATGGCTGCAGCACGAGCTTCCGGGACATTGCTTCCGTCTTCCCCAAGATACTTCACCAAAATGTTGGCAACTAGACGTATGAAAGTATCCATATCAAGAGAAATTAAATTGGAAATTTTTATTGAGATGTACTACCAAAAAGAGTAATGTTCTCTTCCCAGACTATAGATCTCAACTAAATAGTCAAACTAATATGTGGTCCAAATTAACAGTTAAACAGTCTAGCAAGAGAAAATCTTCCCAACAAGAAAATAATGGAAACATTGTAATCTTACCTATGCTCGTTCCAATGAGAAATAATGGAGCCTTGGGATGCCTATGGTGGAGGTGATTACAGACCGCGAATATCGTTGGTCCATCCACAATTGTAAATAAAGTCTGAAGTAATTGGGACTCCACCAAGTCCTCTGTGGTTGCTGATCACTACATTCCATCCCATAGATGTCGGCCTGCCCAAATTATCTGTACATGTGACGAGAAACCATCGTGACTATTTCTGAATGCTGTTGTACCATTGATCTATGTTCAGCTGATTCCATCATTGTAGGGAGTTATCTTCTTCATCTTGGTAATCATCGTCTAGTGAGCCCTTGGGCCTTGCATGCACATATTGTTGAGGAACTTCCAATTCTGTTTGAGAAGCCTGATTCTGGATATGATAAGGAAAATTCGTTTCCAGGTGAGGATCATGAGTTGAGTAATTGCCTTCATCTTCACCATTATCTTCTGCGCTGTACGTTTCAAGATAAACATCTTCTTCCTTCAAAGAATAACAAAAGGATTAAGATGTCAGAACAGCTGGTTTAACTAACAAAGAGAGTAAACAGAGAAGATCAAGCAAATAATAACCTCAGAATCATCGTCATCATCAGTAGGATAAGAAGAATCTAATTTGTTGTACAATACTTCATCTCCACGCTCTTTCACAGCATCCATTTGTTCCCATCAATGTGAAACACGAGTCCCTTAGAACGAAAAAGGAAAAAACGAAAAAAAGAAAAGATATTTATAGATTTTGCGTGCCAAGTGAAATGGTTAGATATAGCAATAAGTAAAGCGTTAGGGGCATACTATTTCGGATCGAAGTGTGTCCACTTTACTCTGCACCACTGAAATATGTTTTAGAAGAGCCTGTTCAACAGAGAAAAAAATAAGTTAGGAACATTATTGTTCGAAAAATTAAACAAGTTTGGTATGTTATGATGGGGAAAGATGAAGGGGGTTAAACAGATCAGACTGCTAAAACCAAGCATTGAATACTTATTGGCAACCTTTATAAAGCTAAGGTCATATTAACTATCTGATAAAGCCAGGATGGCTGAACAATTAGCATTCAAATTTAGAGTGATACCTCCTGTCGTTGGATCTCAATAGAGCGTGCCGACACTTTCCTTTTTGTCAAGAGATTCTTTGGCCTCAATGTAGAAGGTCGGTGATAGTCCTTTCCCCGGTACACAATTATAGCAAACTTTTTGGAAACTTTGTCCACTGAAACCAAGACACCACCGCTCTCAGCTTCAAGTGCTAATGCAATTTTTTTCACCTGCTCAAAACCTTTAGCATTCACCATTATCTTGATCAATTCCCGATATTTCCAGTGCAAATGCATATTCTCCAATGTACAATCAAACACTCCACGTCTACCTGAGTAAGTCAACTTTCCATAAGTAGATCAAAATAAAATCACAGACAAGATAAATAGGTAAATGGAGAATTGTTATACCAAGAAGTAAGAAAGCCTTCATCCGTAAACCAAGCTTACGAAACATAAACCTCTCTTCATCAGTAATGCTGTCTGGGTCAGCTTGTAGCATAGATGGTTTCAAACACTCCTCTACCTTAGATAAGGCTTGTTCAGCTTTCATTAACTTTCTTTCAACCTGACAGGCAAAAATTTGAAAGGTTCAACCGAAGGGAAATTCTAGCACTAGAGCGGCGTGATATCAAAATAAGTATTCAAACTTTAGCCTGAAACTACAAGATGTTTCTTATATTAGCAATCCAAAGTTTCTGGAAACTTACAAAGGCAAGCTTTCGTTCAAGCTTTCTGACAAGATTGGCGTGCCTTAATATGTCTGCTTCTTGCATCACTTTTTTCTTATGATGATTATCCATCATCTTTCCCCACTTAGCATCTGCATCCAAAGTCTCTGCAAGTGTACCAGCTGTACCAAAGTGTTGAGCTTGTTCAAACGATTGGTATAACCATAGCCGACGCTCTCAACCTTGACTACTCCTCTTCATCTTGAAGGGATTTCGCCAATCTCTCCCTTTCCAGTAACGCTTCAGTGACTTCTGGAGACAAAAAATTCTTCCCCCTATAGAAGACCTTGTTTCGAGATAGCAGCACACCCCCAGTCAATCTCTGCAGCAAATAAATAAGATTTAATTGTAATTATGAACTCATTAGCTAACATGAACTCAGATGTTAAAATATGAATGATGAAGAATATTATTCCCAGTTATGTAAAAAATAATAGTGAAGTCATATTTTACCCTTTAATATTCCATGTGATCAAGCCATGCCTGTTATATTCAGTAATATTTTAACCTCTAGTATGAACTCAATCACACTGCTTTGCTCTGTAATCTCATCGTAAAACCATAAACTTTCTACAGAAATGCCATCCAGATTCCAAATCATCAAGATTACCAATCTAGACAAAATGTTGAACACCAAAAGAAAGGAATTTAGAAGAACAAGGAAAACTACTTTCTTTGGTGCATTTATAAAGAATTTCTCAAGGAAACAGGACATAGAATTGTAAGTTTATGCTTAAGAATTTATCTGGTTAATTCCTACAAAATAGACACTGAAAAGAACATTGACTTCACAACAGTCAGAATGATATTTATGGAAGGAAAGAACACGGCAACATAGCATTTCACTTAGTAAGCACTTTGCCAAAGAATTCTAGACTCGATTATCAAAAATGTACTACATGGACATCACCAATGACTACTCAAACACTATACAGCTACTACTAAAAGACTACAATTGCACTTAAAAGAAATAAGGAACTTTCAAATGAGACCTTCTCTCTCAAATGCATTAAATCTATCAATGCATGTTGTCAAGAATATCGTATTCCAGTTCCCTTTTGCCTAGTAAATTTTCACATGATAGATACAGATGGCTAGACTTAATAACTAAACTGGTAAGAATATTATGTAACCACTGATTAGAAACTCAGCATACCAATTTTGAGTTTAGTGGTTGACGGCAATGAAAGTGTGGCAAGGTGCAGCTCAACAAATAATTACAACCTGATGAGACATAAATTGACCGGGTTCTATTACCTTGATGTCTTCAGCCATTCGCTCACTAGTAGTCAGCTGAACACCACGTTTCAGTGCAATCTTTGCTATCAAACTTCGTTCCCATAATTTAGCCATGGCCACTGCTAGACCCTGGAGCTGTCTGCTTCGACCTATGGACAAAATTTAAACATTACAAATCATCATCGTGTCCTTATGTGCAACACAAAAAATTGCATACCTAAAGCAAAATGTGGTGGAAGAACCCTAGCCAGCCTTCTCAAAGATGTTGCCTCCTGTAAACCAAGGGAAGATCGGACACCATACGGAAGTACTCTGAAGGGTGGTTCATAACCAGGAACTAACCCTGGAAGCATATCTGCATCTACAGGTAATGGATCACATAAGGGCCAATCTTTGAATCTAGAACCTAAACTATCTAAAAGTTTGTCTACTTCATCTTCATACTTCACTTCTGGCAATTGGTCTGCGTCTTTCTTCTCCAGGGAAGTACTCATGCATTCTCTTCATGTTAAGAGCAGGTGGACCTTCAACTTCCAGCCTCACAATCTCTGAAGTCTTCCATCTCTCGTGGATCATGTCCACTACGGCTTGAGTAACACCCGCACCTCCAATCTTAGTCTTGTGCTTCTTCTGAAATGTCAAATTCCTCAGCCTCCTCAACTCTGATTCCGGAAGAGTCAATTCCGCCACTGAAGTCCTACTCTTCCTCCTCACCGAACCCTCCTCTTGCTTCTCTTCCTCTGCCGGCTTTTCCCACGGAAACCTCACCTTACCATCACTTCCAAACACATTCTCTATCCCTAATGGTGATTCCGCCGAGAACCCACCTCGCGGATTTGGCAGCATTCCTTCCTCAACATAAAATATATCCTCCACAGAACCCTTCTCAATCGCTCTCTCCCTCGCCTCCCCTTTACCCTCATTACTATCGTCAACGTACTCGAATTCCTTCAATTTCTCCACAATCTTCTCCATTGTACTACCACCGCCATTTCCCGAACCACTCAAATTCCCACTTTCACTACTTTGATAATCCAACACAGCCCGAGGCGGTTTCAGGCGATTACGCTCGTGGGATTCATTCCATTTATCAATCCAACTACTCGTACACAAATTCCTCTTCGGTTTATACTGATAAATGGATCGATTTCTCCCAACAAAATTCGATTTCCTTACTGGGTTTTGGTCAGGAGAGCTGATAATGGAGTGGGTGGCATAGAAAGTGTGCCTGTTGAAAGGAATTGAGGAACCGTGGCCGTACCTAAAGAACTGGGTGCGGGGGCCATTGAATTTCGACAAGGAGCTCTGGAACGAGTCGAACAAGTTCGTCGGGTAAAGTTGACGACTGGGTACGAGAGTCATCGCGGATTGAAGAGACGGAGGTGCATCAATTTTATCAAAGGTTTGGTGAGGTTTTTAGCGGGGGCTCAACCGATGGAACAACCAGCACTATGACTTCTTCTTCTTCCTCGTGTATTCTGTGGTTATGTTGCTAGCTTCTTGTTATCAATGGTGGGGGGGGAGTAAATATCTAAACGCAACGTTATAAAAGGCGTCAAGCGCCAGCCGCCGCAGGCCGCAGGGATGGCAACGAATCAGTTGAGGAACGGAAATTCCATATTCATCCCGTAGCTACGAAAATTAACTATATTATAACCGTAAATTAACCATTAGATATCATCTATAATCATACTCATCAGATAACGGATTTCTCATCAATTAACGGTTATATTCATATTCGTTAATACAAAAAATATATTCACCTAATTGACGCATAATAATTTAGTAAATATTAATTTTATCATTAAATATTTGATGTATAAAATGATTTAATTAATAGATCTTGTGGAACATAAAAATTAAAGCTAAACATTGATAACGTTGGTTGATTAAATTCTCATAGATTTTGATTCATATAAGAACTTTTGAACTTTTTTACAAAATGCAACTCATAGAGTGCAATTTTTGTATTCTCAAGGTAATGGATTCGGTGAATAATGAATATACATATAATTACATTATATATTATTTGGTTTGGATTTGGGTACGGATATGGATTGGAGACCCCTATAACCATATCTAAAACTATAACCGAATAATATTCACGGTTTTTCTCCATACTCAAAATATACCTGAATTTTCATACCCAAATCTAATCCATTTGGACGGTTATCCATGGTTATCGGGTTTAACAGTTAGAATTGTCATCCCTACCGCAGGCAAAGCCCAACGGCTAAGACCATAAGAGTTAAATTATAATTGATGGTTAATGTGGTAATTTGAAATTTTATGTCAAATTTTTTATTTCTCCAATCGAATTGTCAAATATTATTTTATTATTTAAATAGAGTTTTAAATGGTTGTAATTATTAAAAAAATGTTTAAACAATTTTTTATTGGTTGAAATGTTAGTGGAATAGGGGATCTATCATTAAAATGAATTAAAATTGATGTCAAAATTGACTCAAAATCACAAAGTCTTCAAATCTAGTCAGCAAATAACACTTCGGTTGAAGAGATTTTTGATGTCAAATATACATAGTAGCATTTCACTTAGGATTTTGATAACTCATCTGGAGATGCTCTAAATAAGTCTAACCTGTTTTTCTTAATTGTTAAACGGTTAGAGATTAATTTGAGTTGGGGTAACTGCCTATACCTAAGTAGAACCTAGGGGTTCGAAAGTTTAAAAACAGTGAGGTCCACTTGTGCCTTTCTATTTTGAATTATATTTTGTTTAATATTTTATTGGATTTTATCTGTTTAACCATGCATTGTAGTGGATTTGCTCCGGTAGTTGTATTGCTCTCTAATTCCATGTGTCTTAAGTTTAATCGCTCCCCCTTTTAAGGGTGTATTGTATATGGATTTTGATAGACTCCAAAATTTCAATGTATTTAATATAGACTTTTTAAGGAGTGAACAAGATAATGTTACAAGTGTTAAACTATCAAATTGGTCTTATCTCGATTGTAGGTAAGTTTTAGGTGACTAGACTTTAAGTGACAAACTATCAGTTGGTTTTTTCTCGGTTGTATGTAAGTTTCATGTGAATAGTCTAAGGGTCAAACTACTAATTGGTCTTATTTAGACTCCAGTAAGTTTCACATGAATAAATTAAATGTCAAACGTTTAAGTTGATCTTATCTGATATACACGTTATGTGTCATTAACCAATTTACAAAAACATTTCTAAACGACTCATTGTATCAAGAGTTATTTTAAATTTGCTCTTTAAATTCAGAGCTTGCTGTGCTTCAGTGTACTCAAACATTTTTTTCATCCCAAGTTTGACCATAATTTTTGAAATGCCCCTATTAATGACTTGTTTACTAATCCATTATTGAAAGGGCGAAATTACATTGAGGGATCAACTTTAGCCGGAAAAGAGTAAAAAGAAGGAAAGTAAATTGGGGAGCAAATTTTAAATTAATCCAAGAATAATGCAGGAGATTAAATTTTTTAAATTAAATTTACAAATGAAATGGTATGCATATTTGGTTGGGATTATATACGCACACCCACGGAAACACCGAAAAGAGAACAACTGTCTGCTGCCGTGGCCTCCCCACTCATTCAAAATTTCAAAGCGTGGAAGCCTTCCATTTTGTCCTTCCCATCAACTTCTTCCCACCAGCGGATCTCGCCAGTGCTCCAGAAAGTTTTCTCGATTGGGTTTCTGTTCTCTCAAATCGTTACCGGGTTCGTTCGCTGAATCCCTCTTTGTTATCTTTTCCAAATTTCAGTTTAATCAGATTTGTTTTTTGTCTCATGCCCTTTGAATTTTACTTCTTTAATGTTCAATTCCGGTACTTTCAAGCATGTTTGAGCAGATTGTATCTGGGTTTTGATTAAATGAGTTTATTTCGTAGATAAAGATTTAATTTGCAATATTATATGATAGTTCTTGTAAAATGAAAATATGGGTTAATGGAGTCATAGAAAATGGCCTCTGTTGACTGCTATGTGAACTTAGGTGTGTAGATAAACACATATTTTTTTGTTTTTCATTCGACCGATATTCTAATCTAAATTATGGGGAAGGGATTTGAACTTGGGTGTAGAGGGAGAGTGAGCAGCCAATTTCGGTAAAATACTAGGGTTTCGGGATTAATTGGACCAGAGAATTATGATTTATGCTGTCCTAGTTATAAAATTTGAAAATCTTACTTTTACTTCCATTATCCTGATATAATTGTAACTGAGATTTTTCGAACAAATGCGTGTTTGATTGAATGGGATTTAGAGAAGTAATAAGGTAAAAGCTAACAAGCTGAGTAGTGTTCAACTGCTTGGTTAGCAGGGCACAAAAAGGAAGAGATGCATTACTTATGTAATTGGTTTAGAGGTGTTTTGGACGGGTCAGATTGTAGCGTACATATAGCTTGTATGATCCTGTGAGAACAAATGATTTCCTGAATGCAAGTTACTTATTTCCTCTCTCTGTCTCTCTGCCTTGTTCGAGCGATTTGAAAATTCTAATTTCTGATTGAATATAATTTCTACTCTGTTATTAGTGCTGTTGATTCTTGGACACATAATTTGTATTCGTTCTTTACAGCATTCCATCAATCAATGCCTGATAGATTTGCTCCCTGTAGTCCGACGTCTCTATGTTTAGAGATGTCTTCTGAGCCTGTTATTCAGTCTTGCTTCTCATTTTTCTCTGAGGCTTTTGTTTTCTTTTTACGCATTTCCTAAGAAGCTGCTTGATTGATTTATCAAACCTCTGTTTATAACCTTTAGGTAAATTTTGAAGAGATTTGAGCATGTTTTATGAAGTGGAATTGCTCAGGGAAGTGGCTGTCCTTCCTGAAAATCTAGACCAAGACAGACTTGTATCTACAAGGACCGTTGTAACACGGCTTTTGGAGGATTTGTTAAGGGAGAAGGCAGACAAGGATCTTGGATACTTTCTCGCGGTCACTGGCTTAAAGAGGATTGGGAAAGGAGAAGTTGTAGACACCTCAGGAGACGTGTTCTTCCCTGTAGTATTCAATTGTCGCATGTTCCTACCTTGCAAGGGAGAGATCATGGAAGGAGTCGTTCATCACATATACAGGCTTGGGGTTTTCTTGCGATGTGGACCTATTAATTACGTTTTTCTCTCCGCTCGGAAAATGCCAAACTTCCGCTATGTTGCTGGCGAAAGTCCAGTTTTCTTGAACGACGACCTTGCAAAGATAGAGAAGGATGTTGTAATTCGTTTCAATGTGCTGGGAGTCAGATGGATAGAGATTAGGGATGATATAAGAAAGGAGTTTGTGATGCTTGCCAGTTTAGAGGGCGATTCGCTTGGTCCCCTTACGTTACCTGGTCCTGATGGACTGGATTTGTAATTTTTCCAAATAATGAAGGTTTCTTCTGTAAATTAACTTGTGGGAAATCAATCTGGATTTCTTTTGTTGTGGAAATGAGATTATCAAAATCATTTGTTTCATGTTGTTTAAGCCACGTGAACTATTATTTACACACCGAAAAGACATCATGTACTCCTTTTGCATAAAAAACAAAAGAAGTATAATGCATCCATGGAGCGTGTCATTGAAAAAGCTTTCAAATGCCACATTAATAAACTAGTTTATGCTCTACATGAACAATGAATCACTTATTATATATGAATTTAGGTCAGTTAATTACAATGATAATGTTTACTCTGGTGCACCTAAGTTTGGAATTACGTTTCTATAAATTCAGAAATAGTTGTTCGTAAACTCCAATATAAATTAACAAATAGTTGTTGAACATTTTCCACTTAAGTTTGAATTCATAAAATATAGTATAAAAAGGGGACATTTCTTTAAAAAAAAATTGAGTGGTGCCAATTATCCACGTGGCCGTCAGCAATGGAAATAGGTGGGCGTGACACATAACGCATACCCAAAACAAAAACCAAGGAAAGTGGGAAGAGTCTATTTCTCCCTCGCCAATCGCCACTCGCCACTCGCCAGTCACGCGGTGTGCTCGGCTCCGCTCAGCTGGAGGATCAGAGCCGTTGACTCAGTGAGTGAACTCGTTCCTAGGGCTCCACGCGGTTGACCCACACGCCGTCTGTCTCAGCCCATCCTCCAAAAGCTTCCGCTTTCTCTTGAAGGGGTTTTCGCCTTCTAAAGGTACGTGCTTTAAAGCTTTTGCAAACCCTAATCTTTGTGTGTGTGTGTGTGTGTGTATCAATGTATATGCATGTTTGTGCTTGTATTATTTTGTTGTTTGAGTAATTGGGTTTCACATATTTGAGAAATTGGATTTTGGTTTGTAGATTTTGTGAAATTTGACTTCACAGTGAGTCCTTGAGCGAGGAATTTTGTGTTTTTGGTACTGAAATGCAGAGGTTTGAAGCACATTTGAATGGATGAAACAGCTAATTTGTGGTTTCAGAACCTCTTTGCGCTAGATATTGATAGATCATATGAGGGAATGGGAAATGGGGTTTATGGTTTAGGCTTGATTTAATAGTGATTACGTTGTATTTTGCTGCTTCACTTTGTTTTACGGCGGGTGGTTAGTTCTTACTAATGTGTATCAGTGCATGGGTTCCAAGCACCTAGCAGAAGGCGTGTACCTTAGTTTTCCACAACTAAACCAAGCTAGCAATGGCTGGTGGCGAAGGGATAAATTTTCCATCCTTTTCCATCCTCGCTTTCATTTGCAATCTCCATATTTTGCTCACATTCTCACCTTAGGAAATGTGGGGTATTCATGTGCCCTCCCCTCCACTTTTTCGTAAAGAAAACAACTATATATACATAATATAGAACTGGTTTACGTTAATAAGCTTATAAGTTAATTGAGTTTAAACGACATAGAAATATACAAAATTTGAAAAACTTAGTCATTAAACTTAGCAAGTAAGGATATACTGTATGTTTGTGGGCAAAGGGGGCAAGGATTGCCCTGGATCGGAAATTTTACCAAAATCTCCAACCCTACTCCTTTCCCCATTTATTTCACCAAAGCCCCTGGTAGGGGTTTGGTTACAGGCATGTTGCCCAAAGCTCTGAAATGAGGTAGGTTGTGCGGAAAGTTCTTGACGCATTGTTCACCCTCATGCAGAGCCCTATGGTAGTCTGATGCAGAAATGAATCTGCAGACAATTTCCCTGAAGAAAGTCTCCTTCAGAGGTCTATATGTTTGACTGTTTCCTTACACCTCTGCTCTGATCTCAAATCTAAATATACATGATGACATTCATGACATGAGATAAAGATTGACAAGTGTCTTATTTCAAGTTTTGTTTTCTTGGTAGGTCATTATTGTTAGTAATGAACGATGAATGAAAGGGTAGAGTGAGACGAGTTTCGAGGAACCAGGAGAGCATTCACTATCAGCTTCTATAACTTTACCTATTTTCTTATGTCTATTTACATTATAGAGAGAGATTCTTTTTTTGTGGTCTGTATAATAATTAATAATACAGTTGCAATAGTCATACGATGATGCGGATGGTAAGGGGGATTGAGTTTCCAAATTGATTCCTATGATTGCATAGAGAGAAGTCAAGTGATAGAGACAACTGGACATTGAGCTTTGAGGCATGTGTAGAACCAGGGGAAAGAGTTATATTAGGTAGATTAAACACTCCTCTCACAAAAAAAAAGTGGGGCCTATAGTTGAGCTGGTGCAGCAGTTCTGCTCGGAGTATCTATTTTCCTCAAATGTGAGTATCTTGTTTCTTCAGAAAAGGAAAAGGGTTTGGGAAGAGAATAATGAGAATAAAATGGGAGAGAACGTGCATGAAGGACCCAGCGTGAGTTATGGGAGAAGCATAGAAAATGTGGGGAAAGAAATATTGAGCTGATTCATCTTAAAAACGGACACTTGTTATGCTTATTTCTGTAATCCTTTGTAGCCATCTGAGGAATGTTGGAATAGTTGTGCTGCTCTGCTCTTTCAGGATAGCAGGACTCACTTAGTTCATTGTTTGGTTGCTCTTTACATGTTTTCTTTAGCTTTCTAGATTTTTTACAGTTGATGGTTTGGATACTCATGCATGTATATGTACTCGAGCCTTCTCTTAATTAAAGCAAGAAAGAATGATATGGAAACTTCATTCTCGATTTTAAATAGTAATGAATCCTTGAGAGATATTTTGGTGACATGGAGTGGTTTAGAAACTGGTCTCCTGCCTAATTATTTGTTCAAATTGCAGTTTCCTTCTAGCAAGATATTACTTGCAGTTGCTGTGCCTTTTGTGAACAATCTTCTTTGAGCTCATTATTTTTTTTACACACTGTGTGTTAATGGTTAACTTACACAGGGCAAGGACAGTGTGTGAGAAGAATTTTGGGATAAGAACTAATGTCGAATTTGGTTGCTGTTTCATTCTGTGGTTTATGATAGGTAGGAAAAAGCAGCCATGTTTCTGAAAGTACAATTGCCCTGGAACGTTGTAATCCCTGCTGAGAGCTTGGATATGAAAGGGTTGATGCTCCAAAAGTCAATTGTTATCCGCTTGCTGGAGGACTTTGCATCAAGAAAGGCAACCAAAGATCTGGGCTACTATCTCGCTCTCACAACTCTGGAGAGTGTTGGAGAGGGTAAAGTGAGGCAGCAGACTGGGGATGTTCTGTTTCCAGTTGTTTTTAGCGCGGTTACCTTCAAGCTTTTCAGAGGAGAGATTGCTGAGGGGGTTGTCCACAAGGTTCTGAAGCATGGAGTTTTCCTGAGTTGCGGCCCGGTTGAAAACATGTATCTCTCAAAGATGAAGATGCCGGATTATAATTATGTGCCGGGGGAGAATCCTGTATTCATGAACAGCAAGATGTCAAAAATTGAGAAAGGCACGACCGTACGCTTCATTGTTATCGGGACTAAGTGGCTTGAGGCACAAAGGGAATTTCAGGCTTTGGTTGGCTTGCATGCAGATTATCTCGGACCGGTTTCTTAGATTGGTTCCCCTTTTGTAAGCAAATTAGGAAAGTGGTGTTCTTTTCTTATCATGACTTGGAAATGTACAACTTTAGCAATGCTGGTGATTGTTGTTGACCTTGTTACTGTAACTTTGGTATGTTAATATCGTTTTGAGTAACTTGTGATCTCTTTTGTGTTAATTTTCTAGTCTTTGTTTTGCTGGATGCACTTTATAGATAAGGTTTTGCTCGCGCCTAATGTTTTGTTTGTGTTTTGTTACCTTTTGAGACTGTTTTTAGCTGTTGTGCAATTCAAATCCCTTTCTTATAGCTCTTATTGAGAGAGTAGGTTTATTTTTCGTGGTACTAATCAAAATCAAAATTACCCGACTGGTTCCCATGAGTCTTTATTCCACACAATGTTTTGTTAGATTTGTCATATGCTTCACAACGGGGATCCACACAATGTTAGATTTGTCATATGCTTTTATTCCCTCATTAACGATCTTGAGAGCTTCCATCGGACACATAATTGTAGCTCAGCGCTTCCATCGGAACCTGTTTAATTTGTAGGGTGAGTGTGTGATAAAAAAGTACTACAATTGGCAAAACCATTTGAAAAGCTAGTAATATAGTTATTAGTTATTCAAAAATGATCTAGTAGCACTGCATATGCACTGCCTCTAATTATTATACAAATACAAATAGCATGCAATAATTAATTAACAAATGATCAAGAGGAGCAATGTGGTTAGAAAGAAAGCAAACCGGATTGTTAGTCGAGCCATCAATAAGTACGGTCTGCGTATTATCCTCTTGAAAAATTAACTTTATTAAAAACTCCATAGGCTCAGGCATGGTCATAGGACCTGAGCCGTAACCTCCTACGCAGAAAAACGAATGGACAGTCACAATCTGAGACGAAAGGTCAATTTCTGTAGATTTGGTCGATTTTAGAAGAAAACTGGGATAGATCGAGTGGCTTCTCCCTGAAATCGAGCAAATCAATTGGTCTCAAATGAACGATTTTAAGATCTAATTTACAATAATTTTAGGTGTGAGAAATGAATTTTAAGTTTTCTCGTTTGAGTTTTAGTACAATGCCTGTACAATATAATGTTATTTAGATATACAATTTATAATTGTATATATGCGAGACATATATGGTCAGTTTTGTGTCTACATATATAGCAATGTTAGTGCATTACTTCGATCGTTATAATAATGGCATGTAGAAGAAAACTTACTCCTCACTAGCAAGACGGGCGACTTGATTCTCGCAAGCCACAACAGTTATGATCGACCAAAAGACACTTACAGCGATATTATCCACTGTTCATGCTTGGTACATCCTATGGACAATTATTACGAAGGGAATTCTGCCGTGGCGCAAAGATGAACTTTACCACATTTAATGTGCCCGTCATCGAGCTGTCTAGCTGAACAATTGCTTCGTTTTTTCAGGTTTGTAGGGTTCGATTAGGGTCGGGTACTTCTTTAAGGATTGCCACTGACTTGCCAAGTTGGTAAGATTCTTCATATTCCAAAGCAAAATCCGCTAGCACCAATAATGCCTTCAACCCCCACGAATACTTTGATAGATTTCCAAGTGTTTCTAACGTTCTTTATTCGACGGCAATTTCATCACTTGATCCCTCGTATGAAATCTAAAGAGTAAACCTCGTCAATTAGCTTTGCCACTGTTTATAGTACTTGTTGTTTAATTCATTTTCATTTAGGATAATTAGGGATCCATTGGGGTGTGCTATTCACACACCTCCTTTTACTTCTCACATCCTCTTGTTAATTTCTATTCATTGATATTCTTCAATTCATTCGATCTGACGATAAAAAATTAAAATAGTATGTGAGAAGTAAAAAGGGATGTATGGTTATCACACCCCTTGAGATCTACCATGAAGATGTAAAGAGTAAATCATAAACATATTAATTTCTTGAGATAAGAAAAATCATCCTCTACACTTATGAAACAAAATATCGTTAGACAATTATGATGATCTTGAAGATAAAAAGCTTACGATATGTATATGATTCTGACTCGAAAAAACAAATGTATATGTTATGCAATCAATGACAATTAAAGAACTAGAAAATAACCTAAATTGTAATGCAATTTAATGACCTCGCGACGCTTTGCCGAAGTGGAGCTAGAGGACTTAATATCACTTGGCTGTAGGCCCTGAACAAGTCATTCACAATTAATCATTATAAAAAGAAAACAGAAATTCTAGAGTGTATATCAATGTGTAACATATTGCTAAATTTAACCACTAAAAAGAGTTGCGGTCAAGGATACAAGAGAATTTAACGGATGGATCTGAATCACTACATAATCCTATTGTTAAGGTTTATTCTCACAAACAAGTTCGATAAGTTAATAAATTGAGAATAATAATTATCTTAGCTAGTAGCTAGCGTCATACCCGCAAAATATCAGAAATAACCTCGTTTGACCGCACGATGATGACTTCAGTGGTGGACAAAAGAGAAGAAACGTCAGAGCTGGTATGTTCCTGAGGATGATCGGGAACATGAGTTGCAGAAGTGAGGTCCAAGATTTCGCTGTCAGATCTGCTAAACAGGCTCCTCCCTGTACCCTTACCGGCTGCTACGTTTCGCCGAGCAGTCCCAGCAATTACTGAGACATCATCCTTTCGTGGGATGCTTTCCATGATGCAATTACTGAGACATCATCCTTTCGTGGGATACTTTCCATGATGGTAATGTGGCTGACGAGAAAACTCTTGGGGATGAGAATGAAAGACTTTTTTTCATGTTAGACATTACTCCTAAATATCCTATATATAGTGCCTCTTAACCCTAGAAGCCTTGTAGGGTGAGAAAAGTACTATTAAGAAAATATAAAAAAATGTTGTCAAAACTTAAAACCCTAATGAAACACTAGAAACGATGAACTTTGGCCAAAAAAGCCATATAACACAGCGAAGTAGTGAGTTTAATCTTGTCGTTATATTTCAGAAATGACGGATCATGGACCCAAATTGAACACCAAAGCCCAAGTCTGCAAAGCTTTGTTCTCGCTGCCCAATTTACACCTTTCAACATTATCTTCAATTTATTCCTCAATTTGATCTACATTATTGGTGAACCAAACCAACCTTTCAATCTATGAAATTCTTTTTCCTTCATCAACGAGAAGGGAGACTCAGATTTGAAACTTCTTCCGACGTAAGGAAAAGAAATATAACTAAACTAACTACTATTTGTTCTTGTTAATTAATGCCATGATATTTTGAACTGTTTCTCAATTATTCAATAAAAAAAGAGGCTAAGACAAACTCAAAAAGTGATTACATACGAACCTGTTTATTGTTTGTTAGGAAAATAATGTAGTCGCATTCAAAATAGGTCGCTAAGGCTTTTATACCGGTTGGCATATAATAAGAAAAGAATAGTGTTATTTACACACTCATTTTTACTTCCAAAAAATCCTTGTTAACTTTTTAAGCATTGATTCTCTTAAGTTCATTCGATTCAACAACTAAAAATTGAGAAGAATGTGTGTAGAAAGTAAAAATAGATGTGCATTGCAGTACCCTGTTGGAATCGCACAAAAACGACGTAAGGGCATTGTACAAATACACCAGAAGTGATATGAAGGCCATCACTTAATTTGCTTGAAACATTTATGCATGGTTTATACTTAGTCAACATGTTCACGTGAAGCAGATTAAAGATATGGTTGCCTATGTTGCACATAGAGAATGACTTGTATGACATGATTACACTGTTATATATATAATGTTCTTTGCCAATTATATAAAAACAGTGTTAGTTTCTTTTTATGTGAGACCTGGAACGCCATTGTAAGGATATAATTGTACTATACAAATTGCTCTCGTTTCACATGACATGCACCGACAGCCACTAACAAAAGATGTGTTGAGCTGAGGGGTATGCCCATGGAATAAGAGCGAAATGCGAAATATTAGCTTGGTTTGTAATAAATAATGGTCCCAAATTCCCAATAATTGAGTGAAGTTATGAGTGAAGTTAAAAACAAAAAACCTAACATTATTTTGAGTTGAATGGAAGATGAAAGCTGGTATTGGCATGGGAGCCACACCTCAAAATACAAGTTATACAACTTAACAACAAGAGTCGATCAACGGTAGATATGGAATTTACGTTTAGGATAGTATTGGTTGGCAAGGTGATAAGCTCATATTTATATATATTTTATATCAAATTCACTTGTTTTTTCTTAGTTAGTTCCTTATATTTTTGAGTTATTTACTTTGTTTTTTTGTTTTGTAGGATTTTTCAAGCAAAGAAAAGAAAAATAGCACAAGTGGGATTTTAAGTAACAAATTCGTCAAAACTGCCAGTGCAGATCAGCTGACTTTGGAAGCAAGTTTCGGACAGCTCAGAATGAATTAGATAATGAGACTTATATTCTTGGAAAGCTACGGATGTCTATTTTCTAGAGCATTTCGCGGATTGTTAATATCATTTTTCTAGAAGAAGTTATGGCCGTTTTAACACTAAAAGGTTCCCAAGAGGCTGAGCAGTTTGTAACTGACAAGAAAGCATTGAAAGCAATAAATCCAGTAAAACTAGCAGCCAAAACTGATGCAGCCAAAAACAAGCCAGCTGACACCTATTCAAATATCAGAGGAAATGGAAAATTAAGTGGGAGTAATGGGCATAAAGGCTGCCCAAAGAGTTACAATTGTTTTAGCATTTCCTCCCACTTATTGTCATCACTAAATGGCTGTTAGTGGGGTGAGTTATGGAGAAAAAACTGTGGCAGCAGAAAAGAAGAAAAGGGCTGCAGGTTGCAGCGGAAAAAAAAGTGAAAAAAAAGATAGAAAAAAAGGAAGGAAAGCAAGGAAAAAAAGGCAAGGCTACTGCGTTGGGGAAAGAAGGAAAGGAAGGAGGAAATCTTGGCATTCTCTTCTTTCGGTTTTATCTTCTCAAACTCATGTCTTTCTTTTGGTTTAATTTCAGAATTATGCGTAACTAATTTTTAGTAGTTAGGGGCTGTTTTGAAGCCCCGAATATGATTGCAAGTTTGTTATGACATTTCGTTTGAATTACTTTTATGAATGGATGAAAATTGGTTCACTACTTGTCTCATTGATGAATTCTTTATGTGTTTTGTACGGATGCATACTTAGTAAGCATATCTAGGATTCTAATGCTATGATTATGTGTGTGCTTGCCCTTGTTGAATGAGGACCTACATATGTTCTAGAGTAGTACTTGTTAATTGCGGTTAACATGTGAACCAATTTCTAGGATAAGTAAGACAATGCTAGTACTTACGAAGCCTTGTGATGACTCAAACTCTTTTCGTTCTTAATGATTTCTACTTGTTAAATCTATGAAAACGCCATTCTAGGTTGCATACTAGGTACTAAGTTAAGTTGAAAACGCCTTTCTCTTAACATACTACATAAGAAAGAGTAATAGGTTGAGTTCTAACATTGAGCCAACTTGAGCATCTTCATCCGGAAATAAAAGGAATTTGAATGAAACATAACATTTTTGCATGATTATTTGGTGGTGGATAGCAATCCCCTAACTCATTTTTCTTAATTTGTGAACTACTTAAAATCTGTTTATGTCCTGTTTTTGTTCGATTTAATTTAAATAGAAAATCAACTCCAAAAATCTCAAAACTTTGTGTGAGTGTAGCTCTGTGTGTCTAGTATTTGCATATAAAGACTTTAGATAAGTGTAAGTCAGTCTAATAATTATTTTTCAGTGGCTGGCCAGTAGGGACAGTAGCCCAGTTTTTGTGACATTGTAAGTAATTAGATAAAACAATCTTTTGCGGGAAAAACCTTTATTTTCATATGCTACAATTGACAAATCGTAGTGTTAATAAGGAAAATCAATAGGACATTTGTGTGCTACTTTGTGGTGTGCTTTTAAGCCCATCACAAGGATAGTTAAGGAAATAAATTTAAAGCTGAGTCGTGAGTCGTGTCTCCTGAGTCATGACTCGTTATCGCTAGGTCTTCCTAGTCAACGAGTACTATATAATAATGTCAATATTTGCACAAGGCAGTAGAAGAAACTCAAAAGCCCAGACAATCTTTACCCAGAAAGATTATAGTAGTTCAGCACATTCCCGGCTAGCTCGAGGTTGCTATGTGATCTTCTGCCTGGCTTGCGTTTCTGTGGACCCAATCGAACTTGTAAGTCTATGACAATGAAACTCAAGGATTTTCTGTAGCTTATTATGATCAGTTTCTAAATGTTGATTATTTTTCAGTCTTAATCAGTTTCCAAATGTTGATTATTTACTCAGGTTTATTTATTCAATTAGGCTTGTACCTTAATTCTTTATTAGTATATGCCCATACACAAAGTGTGAGTGAAATTTTTTGCTTTTATTTTTAAAATTGAAGGAGAGAGGAAGAGAGTGAGAGAGAGCGTGGGAGTAAGGAGAGAGGGAGATATGTTTTTTTATTTATTTATTTTTTTATAAAGTAGAAATGATAAAATCACATGTAGATGATGTTTAAACAAAAAACAGCAAAATTTTGTTTTGTAAAATTACATTACTATTTTTAATATGTAGTTTAGATAAAGACCCGTACAAAGGAGAAGAATAAAATATTTGTGGTGTGTAGAGTTGTGTAATATTTTTTCTGTAACTTGGTATTAGAGCAAAATTCAATCCTTGGTCAAACCCCGCTATGCCCACCCACGGACCGAACAATTATTGTGTATTTGGTAGTTAGTATGCTTTGGGAGATTTTTTATTATTTGTTACAACTTCTATTTAATAGGAAGTTTTTCTTTTTAATTTGTATAAAGAGCTGATAATCTGTCATCATTAAGGGCTAGTTTGGTATTGTTATGTTTAAAAAAAAAACGTTTTCTGCTGTGTTATGAAATAAACAACTGCATAATGAAGCAGTAAAGTGTTTGGAAAACTCTAGTTGTAAAAGTGCTTTTAGAAAAGAAAAAAAAAATGGTGTTTGAATGTTTGATAAACTTTTATGTAGAATTGATGCGAAAATATAAAATGACCAAAATGGACATGTGGTGATGTGATATTATCACATTTATCTTTATTTATTTTTTTCATAACTTTTTTCTTCGTTGCCGATTTTTCTTTGGATAATACTTGTGTATTCATTGGGGAGTACCCAATTTACTCACTTTCTTAAGTGGCCTAACAAAATCATGACATGGGTCATATAAAATTTTACTCAAGTCTATATTGTTCTACCATCCAAACATACAATCCTCCCTTTAAACTTATAGCCAAACATATCCTTTTCCCCTTAAATGTATAAACATCATCTCCTTCCTCCCTAATTTGGTGCTGTCATGGAAAATACAGCATGGCTGCCGTCAGTCCCCCCCCGCCCCATCCCCCCTCTCCAGCCTATTGCCTCATTTGCTTCATCTTCAATCCCTCTCTTGTCTGGTGTGCCCACCCCAAATCCCTGTCTTCTCTGTCGATGTGGCATTTGTGTGGGGCCCGCAACCTAATCGTGTGATGCCACATGGAATAAATGAAAAAAAAAATTTAATTTCTTAAAAATAATTTCTAGTTTAAAAAGGGATTGGTGGGGAATTCGAAAACCTGGGGTGGGTACGGCAGGACAACCGGAGAGGGAAAGTGATGGAGAGTAAGAGCAAGGGTTGGAGAGATCTGATTGAATACCAATGGAGCCTGAGTGGCCCTGATCAAGCTTGGTGGAGCTGAGAGGAGTACAATAGGGCTTAGAACCTTCCATATTAGTCTTCTTAAGAAGATCAAGTAGATACTTTGTTTGATGAAGAAAGATACCCTCAGATGTTATTTGAACTTTTAATCCTAAGAAATAAGGCAGAGGCACCAGATCCATGACTGAAAAAATGGCACTCAGTTTTTGAATGAATAACTGACAAAGACAAGCATTAGGGCATGTAACAAGTTTGTCATGTAAA